CGAAGTCTTTTTGATATATAAGATCAACAACATAAATTCATTAATTATAACAACTAAAGTAATCTACTTACAACTTGCATGTTTAGGTATATAACTTTTGACAATGAATCTAATAAAACTTATTGATTCGTGTTTGATACAATCATACATCAGTTCGGCAGATGGATATGCCTACTATATTATCGTAAGTTGTAAGATTTTGTAAAATGATTGAGTAAAAATAACTTGAATAAATTAAATAAAATTGAGTAAAAAAATAATACAGGCATATTAATTAAAATTAACTGATTTTAAGTAATATACCATAGAATATAAAATTGAAATATAAAAGATAAAATATGTATACTTAATCCTGCTTGATGTGTCTTTATACAATAAATTCTTTTAATACCGTTTTCCTTTTTTATGTGTAATTGTCATAAAAGTTGTTGGTATTTGTTTGTTAATCCATAAAATTAGCGGTTCAATGAGCATATTGATGATGCCTGTCAGATTGATTACTATTATTGTTTGGTCTTATCATATTTTTCATACTAATTATCTATCTAACAGTTTCGTACGTTTGGATTTCTCAGACTAGTAATCTATCTGACAATCTGGTGCACTGGATTTCTCAGAGTAGTAATGTATCTGACAGTCTGGTCCGGTTGAGGTTTTGAGTCTAATATTCTATTTAAATATCTGCTACAAATGTAATTTTCATACTAGTAGTCTATCTAACAGTTTTAGTCTACTTGATTTTCAGATTACTAATTTATCTGACAATCTATTCTGGTTGAGTTTTTCAAATTAATATTCTATTTAAATGCCTGGTCCAAGTGGAATTTTCATACTAGTAGCCTATCTAAAAGCCTGATTCGACTGAAGCTTTCAGACTATTAATTTGGCATGTCTGGTTCGATTGGATTATTTCAAACTAATAATCTACTTGATATTTATTTCGAGTTGCCAATTAAGTGGCCTTATTTCAGTCCGACCGTAATCATACTAGCTTAGGTGTAAGATGCATGCCTGTAACAATTATGTTTACTTTCTTTAGGAATAGTTATCAACTTTAACAATAAATCAGTTCATATGAGTTCGTCCCATAATATGCATTTATGCGTCAGTTTGGATTTGGAATGAATTGAAAACTGAAAATGAAATAGTTCTCATTATTAATAAAATCTTTTTATTTTTATATTCTTTTTATTAATAATAATTTTTGGCTGACCATACAGCTGTTTTAAGTATTACAGTTGGCTAATGAACGCTAACTCTGAGTTTCAATTTGGCAAAATTTGAGTTCAATCCTTAGTACTTGCAGTAAGAAGAAATTATTTACGATAAATTAAATACAAGAAATAATTCCAAGACCATTGATGATGGGTTTTTGCAATACTCGAAACAGCTGTATGGTAAGCCAAAAATTAAATTAAATAAAAATAAATAAAAATTTTGTTGTTACAATTCACTACTGTTCGAAACCTCTTTAACAAATGTACTAGTTTTTGTAAAATAAATGGTCACTTTCGTCATAATTTTCGTCATAAACTATAACTTATACTAAAATCTCTTTCAAAATTTTTTTTGATGGTTATACTTCGCTGATAATATAAAATGCTTTTAATTATTCATTAGCTTTAATTTTTTCTCCCTATTCTTGTGTAGAGTTTTGAAAGATAAATAGTATTTTAATGTGCCGAGTTCGATTTCATTTTTATAATACAACAAAAAATAATTTTTAATAATTACTTCCTTTCCATCATTGTACAAACTATGATAATAAATTATAAAAAAAAATTTAAATATACAAATAGTTATATACTTTTGAATCATTTCTCTCCTTCACCTAGTTGAGTATAATCAAATTTGCCTAAGGAGAAACTACATATGTTAGTAGCTCAACGTAGAAATTTTTGTTCATCTGAAATACATAGCAGCATGTACGAGTTCAATTATTCAAATTGGTTTCGTGCATCTATCTAGTATACCATATACATTTGAAACCTGATAATTATTCCCATAAAATATTCTATAACACCTTTAGGAAAATTGTTATGAAAAAAGATCAAAGCAAACGACTCTGATCCGTTAAGGTAAACTTCACAAAGAACACATTATATATAAAACATATGTTAATAAATAATATTATTAATTTCGGCACCAATGGGCCAGCTGCTATTGGTGCCGAAACTAAAATGAAATTTAAGCCATTTTCAACCAAAACTCAATCAATAAAACCGCATGTCACTAGATCACGCACAGCTTGATGCCCCAAATCACCAATTAAATTCCAATTATAAAGTCAAACAATGGTAAGTGGAATTTTTTTATTCCATTTTTAATTTGTGGTTGTCAGTTGCTGCCGCTCACAACAGCGGCTATATCAACAGTAACAGCAGCACTCACTATTGCTGCAGCAGCAGCAGCAACACCAACAGCAATTCCAACAGCAACATCAACAGCAACAGCAACAACAACAACACTAGCAACTATCTTGAGTTTTAAAATGAAATCGCTGCATTATTGACTGTTTAAATCCGCTGAACCCATTCAATGTTTAATGTGCAGTCGCTTTTGATGGCAAATGTTAAGGCTTAAATAGGATTATTTTGTGGTTTTAACTGTTGCGAGTGAATTGAGTTTGTTGCACTGTGAGGCATTATGCCCGCATTTTACGATGTGGACCAGAATGCCGTGAGTCAATAATTTTGCTGTTTTAGCTTTCGAAAACTGAAATTTCAACAGGAAATTCTATTTTATTTTTACAATTTATATAAACAGGATTTCATTGTTTAGGCCACTAATTATGTGATTCACTGGTGACGTTTCCGCATAACAATTTTTGTTGCGATATTTATTGCTAATGAATGCAACATCATTAAAATTAACTGTTTTAAATAGTACTTTCCAATTTGTTTGTTGATTGGTCCTAGAGATTGTTACATATTTTGAAATAAATTTTATAAATACAGAAATTGGATAATGTGAAATTGAAACCGCAGTCATGCTAATTGTGGCATAAACTATTAGAGTGCACTTTGGTTATAGTAAAATAATTTTAGAACAATACAAATTATTAAACATTCATGAAATATTCATTAAATGCAAAGAATATAACACAAATGTATATTATTTATAATAATTAATTAACATTAGAGAATATTTCATAAATTAACTAATAAATTAAGCTGATATAAAAGTATACACGGACTAATTGGTCAGTTTAGTTATTTCATTTGTTAAAATTGTAATTTATTGATTTACCGATGTTACGAGAGTTTTGTTGAAAATCATCCTCAGGGTAATGACAGTCGAGATATCAAAAAATCAATAGTTAAATAGAATTTACAATATCAACTGTGGTTTACATATTAAACAGTCCAATTAGCTTTTAGATACTTAAATTAAATATTTTGACTATAAAAATTAACTAATTAAAATTACGGATTAAAATGTAAACAGTATATAGCAAACTATGGAAATTATAATTTTTAAAAATAATAGTTTATTTATTTAATTATTAAAATGAAATCTTATCTGATTGTGTTTGAAAAATTTACATTAAATAATTAGATGCGTTCCTAAAAACCCGTTCAAAACTTACCTACAGCCGTAATTTTTTCCTTCAGAGTAGTAAAAAAATACTTGCAACTTACGAAAGAAAACATGTGAAGCAACAACAATGATCTTAAAATCCTATTTTTTTACAACTATGAAAGAAATAATTATGGCTAATATTGCTAAAATTGGTATTAACTTTGCAAAATATCGAATAAAGATGATATCTAGGCCGCCAATATATGATATATGATATATTCGATGAATAATTCACTATATCTATATTATCGTTCGATGGTAAGAACTGCAGAACTCTGATGACACTGTATGGTTGCAATGCATTCGCGCTAACTAAACATCACCTGTAGTGGCAATTGCAGAAAATATAAGAAACCGGGTGTTTAGGAAACCCTATAGCATCTCCTCTGTTTCTGTTCAGCTCTCAAAAACTATAATAATATATGGAGCTATTAGTTTTGAGGTGCTGAACTTTGCCCCTTTGAATAAACTATTTTGTAAAACTCAGAAATGTCACACAAATATTAAGTAATGTATTCTATTTTTAATTGTATACAAACATTCTATCCTTGACCTATTTGGTTTATGCGTACTCTCGGTTAGCCAGCACTACTTACCTACCCATAAAGGTAACAAAAATTTGTTCATTAAATGAAAGGTAACAGTGCCTTATTCTTGGAATATCCGTACAATACATTTAGATAAAAATTATATGTTAAAACACACACTTAACTGTAAGGCTATGCTTTATAAACAGAAACTCGGAACTCTTTCGACTAATATGGTTTTAAAGAATCTGAAGGGATCATAGAAAATAGAAATAGAAAATATTCCGTAACTACAAAGGAGCCTTAAATGTTATTTTTGTTATCTATTAGTAACCTAATACTAATTTTAAAACGAATCTTAAACACTGTATTATCAGTGACGTATTTAAAGCGACAGGTTCGGTTGTCTATTAAATAAATATTATGAGACTAGAAGTGCAACTCTAATAGGTTAGAACTAAGCCG